GCTGAGAAACGGAAGAAGCCACTCCGTAGGCAGTCTCATAGAAGATAATTAAGCACAGGTGGTTATGGATTGGCCCCTCCCAAAGGGGGTTTTAAGTGATGTGTTGGGAGGGGACATTTGCAGGAAACAACCGTTCGAACTAGTAGTGAAGAAAATCTGTCTATATTCTAGCCATGTCTGTTCATTGGGATTATTTGCATTGCTTCATTTGAACTATCTGGGTTGCTGCCAAGCTATTCTATTGAATGTGAGTTGGCTGGGCCCTCAGCCAAAGGATTCATTATCTCAGTAATTAAATAGTGGCAAACAGCCAAGCCTGTGTTCTGGTTTATTCACAGGCCAGGGAGGGTCAGAACACTATGTAATCAGAGACACTTGAAGCATTCCTTTGGGTTGGATCCAATGAGAGGTAGTATTCAGCAGGTTCTGACCAGTTCTGGAGGAAAGTAGCAGAATTTTTTAGTAGTTCAGAGAACCAGTAAATACCACCTCTGACTGGTCCTGCCACCACCTATTCCCTGCTTGCTGAGTCCCAACTGATCAGGAGGGAATGGGGATTTAGCAGTAACCTTCCCTGGAGTGGGGTGGGAATCAGAGGTAGGTTGCTACCAGTTCAGGCGAAATGGTAGTGGAAATGGTGACTGTGTTACCGAACCGGTAGGGATGGCGGACTCGCCACACCCTCAAACCGGTTCCCTGGTTGCCACACCATGGGTTTTAAAAAATATTTTTGATGTTCTGCACATGCACAGATGTATTTAAAGGAAACTGTGCATGTGCGCGGAGCATGCACAAATCATGCACACACCAGACTGACACTAACACCGGCAGAAACCCACTCCTGGTGGGAATGGAGATTTTACAGCATCCTTTCCCTGCCACGCCCACCAAGCCATGCCCACCAAGCCACACCCACAGAACCGGCAGTAAAAAAATTAAAATTCCACCACTGGACCCAATGCATGTTCAGGGGCTGCAATTTACTTGATTTTCATCCCCTTGCAATGAATGTCATGACTCCCATCAGTTCTAATGTCAAAGTAAAAATAAATACAGAACCAAAGCAGCATCCAATCCAAATTGCAAAAACAGAACCATGCAGGAAAGAACAATAATAAAGAACAACAAGAGATGCAGGTGATATTACTTAAAGGGTCTTTGAAAAAGATTCATTTTTTAAAGTGACTTCTAAAAACTGTCAGAGATGGAAGCAGCCTGCTCTCAATGGGGAGCCCATTCTATACAAGGTTGAACATCAAGAGAATTGAGATTCATTGCTGTGCCTGATGTGAAATCTGGCACTTTGTGAGTTTTTGAATCTCTGTATGAACATAATCAATTCTTTCAGGTTTTGGATGGATAGAATGCAACTTCCAGGGGATGAAAGGAAATGCCTTTCTTTCTGCATCACTAAATGAAGTGCTGTCTTCACAATAATGCACAGCAGCATGAATTACTATGGGACATTAGGAATATTTTTTTATAGTTAACATGAAGACTTGTGATAACCTATCTTTTAGTAACCCCTTTCAAGATTTGTTTTCACTGTCTCACTGCTGAAATGCTGGCTTCAACAGCAAAAATGTCAAAAAGGATTAGACAGAGCAACTATTGCATATTTACTTCCTATTCCTAACAAGTTTCTAAAGTAAAGAAGAGAAAATGATTTTGTATGCTGAGATTCTTCTGCTTTCCTCTAGGAATACTACGGTCCCCCTGCTTATCATTTTGATTCATCATATATATATTCATACATTTTGTTTTTGGAATGGCTTTCATTGTGGTTCAAAACTTTAGAAGGTTGTCAGCTTACTTTATTTATTTATTAGTTCAATTTGTATGGCCAACCAATTTGGAAATGTAGTTCCGGACAGCAAAGAACACACTAAAAAAGATATATAAATGATACAGGTTACTCTTCACTTAGTGATTGCATTTGGTTGCAGCAAAATGGTTGGTAAGTGAATCACATAACTGAGAGAGAGAGTGTGTGTGTGTGTGAGAGAGAAGGAGAGACTGCAAAGATCACTGGCTGTTGCCATCTCGTTTAGATAAATGAATTGTATTCTTGTATACAGTCTCTTTTGCCTGACCCATTTGTTGTTCTTTTCTTGTTGCCCCACCCACGGGGAAAACATTGCTTAAACAATCTCTCTCTCTCTCTTTTGATATACCTGAGCTACAACACATCCATAAATTTAAATTATTATCTTCACCACCTTTATCAACTTCTCATTTTTGAACTCACAGGGTGAAAGCACTTTTGACAAAAACTATTTTAACTTTAATCAGGAATTCTATTAGTAAGTGAAAAGCATCTTTCTGGGTTCTTGGTAATCTCACAATCTCCCTCCTCCCTGATTTCTCCCTTGTAATTAGGAATGTATATATAAAATACATTATTTTAAACTTGCATGGCAGCAAGCAAAAATTGAGAGACTTGAACTAGGACATTAATACCAGGAATGTCAACATCCATTTTGTAACACATTCAAGTACTAACCACATCAATTATTAATAGCCTAAGCCTAGGATCATGTAATTATTCATGAAAGTTCCAGATTTCCACATAAATGGGTAAGATATGATCATCCTAAATGTTTATCAGCGAGCTTATGGAATGCTTTCTAGGGTCTTGATGCATAGGGCTTTCTAGAGTCTTGATGCACAGGGCTTGATGCACAGTAATTTGGGCATTTGTCTAGCATGGTACAAGAGATGGGTGTGGTGCAGAGTGACAGATGGAAGCAGGTTGTGCCTTTGGGACCACCTTGGAAACAGCAAAGGACTGGCCTACAGTGTTGCTGTCAGCGAAAACGGAGCTCGGGAGGGTCGCATGCAGCCCTCCTGAGCTCCATTTTCACTGGCAGAGGGCTGCATGAGACCGTAGCAGCCAAAAACAGGTAGCCCCCGACATGAATGATGTTGAGCTAGCCATGCCCACCATGGACAAACCCACTCTGGACACCCCTCCAAGGTCAAACACAACCCTGATGCAGCCCTCAATGAAATCAAGTTTGACACCCCTGCTCTACTTCATATTGGCTGAGTTTCCACAATGCACAGCACCAAGGAAACCCTGTATTGCCTCAGTGTGTCTTGTAAATCTAGATGTTCTACAAATGGAGTAGAAAACATTATAGGTAGTAGCCAACACTTGTATTTTGGAATTGAGCATTGAAGATCGCAATTCCCAGAAATTGGCAATAATGTATATAATCTTAAATTTTATTCTACAAGAGAATGAAACAACCTTGTCTGAATCCTATTGTCAGCCTAGAATTTCATGAATCATTCAACGTTGTTGCTGTTAGTTACGAAGTTGTGTCCAACCAATCGCAAGCCCATGGACAACGTTCCTCTAGGCCTTCCTGTCCTCTACCATCCTCTGGAGTCCATTTAAGCTCACACCTACTGCTTTGGTGTCTCCATCCAGCCACCTCATTCTCTGTCATCCCCTTCTTCTTTTGTCCTCAATCTTTCCCAGCATTAGGCTCTTCTCCAGTGAGTCCTTCCTCCTCATTCGGTGCCCAAAGTATTTGTCTTTCATCTTCAGGATCTGGCCTTAGATTTAGATCTATAGAGCAGTCAGGGTTGATCTCCTCTAGGACTATTTGATTATCTTGCATTCTAAGGGATTCGTAGGAGTCTTTTCCAGCACCATAGTTCAAAGACATTTCCTTCTGGAGAAGGAAATGGCAACCCACTCCAGTATCTTTGCCATAAAAATCCCATGGACAGTACCAAAAGGCCTTCAACATTACTTCTCTTAATAGTCTCCTAAAGTAATAATTAGGATGCACTTTTTAATAGCTTTTGA